AAATATATATATATATATATATATATGTGTGTGTGTGTGTGTGTGTGTGTGTGTGTGTGCGTGTGTATGTATATATGTCACGATGGGGATCAGGCGAGCCGGAAAGCAGGCGACTGGAGCCATAAATACGGACAAACGGGGTTTATTCACGGAGGGAAGGCTGACAGGAACAAACAATACAATGACGGATCTGGGTAGACTGACTGAGACAAGGACTAAATACAAAAGACAAGCTACTGGTAACGAGCCACAGGTGAGAACAATCAGGGAATCACACGAGGTAACGAGGTGGGCGTGGCACACATCGGGATCGAACAGAGCGGATCGTGACAAAATATATATATATATATATATATATGTGTGTGTGTGTGTGTGTGTGTGTGTGTGTGTGTGTGTGTGTATACCACTCAATATTTTTAAACAAATCTACATTTTTATTCACAGTAACATACACAGTAAGTCAAACAGAACATTACGAACATGTGGCTGTCAAGGAGTCAGCTACTCATAAGTGCGACTAGGCTGAGCTTGCAACGAATAAGGTAAAACTGTAAGCAGTACTGGAGCAAGAGCTACAGAACATCTACAGTACCAAACAAAGCAAGAACCAATGTATTCAAATCAGCAGGTAGTGCAGCATTATGAGCATTAATACTGTGCGGTGCCAGCCGGCGGAGGCCGGGCTACCCACTTGAGCCTGGCTTCTTTCAGGGTCTCTTCCTGTCTCTGAGGGATGTTTTCCTCATCGTTGTAGCCTCAGGCTTACTCTCTGTGGACCTAGGCCTCTGTGCAATGTTACACTCAATTTCAGAGTAATAGCTGAGTGAACAAATGAATGAGCGTTGTTGAAAGTGCTATATATTAGCAACAAAAAAGTTCAATTAAATTCCTGATTTATTCAGCACACTGTCAATATTTTGTACAAGGTCCTTCTGATACTCCCACAGCTTTGTGTCCACAATGAGTTGCTCTTTGGTGAGACTCCCCTGTAGAGGAACTCTGACATGTATAATTCTGCACACATTAGGTGGAACTCTCAATGTGTCTCCATAATTCTTCAACACTGAATGCACTGATGTCTGCACCACTTGCCTTGGGTTTATGATCATCTTGGTGGGGTTGAAAACATTTTTCCTGTCAGGTTCCCGGTAAATGTGTATCAAGATGTTTATTCCTGGAACATTTTTCCACTGTGTTAAGTTGAATCTGCCCATATCATCAAAGATGGTTTTGGGGAAGATATGATTCTCGATAAGAAAGACTCCTACTGTGGGGTTTTGCCTTTGCAGGTCCTCCAGGAGAAGCTCCAGTGTAGCATGCTTGTAAGGCATAATTATTTCATCAATGTCATTCAGCAGAAGATACTTGGATCTGTACATGTTTCTGTAGATACAGTCGTTCAGAGTAGTTAACTGCCCATAGTAATGGAGGTCACCTTTATGCTCTTCAAAGTTCCAGCCTTTGGAGGGATTGAGGAACTGATCTATTGGCCATTGGTGGATTTCAAGTGTACCCTCTTCCCTGTAGTAGTGCAGAACCTTGTCAAGGTCTGGACCACAGCTAGTATTGTAGATGACCACTTTCTGTATGCCCAGGAGTTTGTACACTTCTATGGTCTGCACAAACTGCAGTACATTGTTATAAGTTCCAAAGAGGTTGGAGATGCAGACAGTGAAGTTGTATTTGAAGTTGTGCTCGTTTCTCTCTCTGTTTCGTATGGGTAGGAAGATCATATCTGGAATGTCTGTGGTGTATGGAGAATTACTGATGGTGACATTTGCAGCATCACACTTTGGTTCAGTTTTACACAGCAGGTCTGTGGTGTGGTAAGGGAACCCAAAATGATCACGGTGTATGTCAACATCTGCTGCTGTAACCAAATATCCATGTTGAGCACAACCAATTATACAATACAGTCTTCTGACATCATCCCTCCTATATATGCTAATGATACGAATGGTTCCATCAATCCTGTGATCTTTGTAGGCAGAAACCAGGAAATGCTTTGTGTCCTTAATCGGCGTTATATTTTGCTCAGTCAAGTTCTTTGCATGCTGATTACTCAGATTAACTGGTAGATGTAAAATATTTCCCCATAAATGTGGATATGTAGTCAGATTCCGTCCTAAGGGAATTTTATAGACTAGCCACATAATTCCAAGAAGTACTAATGACAAAAAAAAACTTTTTCTTGAAGTTTTCTCCATGAAGTTGCAACTTCTGATTTGGAAACCTGGGGAGAGATGACAAAAAATACTGATTGCTGGCCAATTTTATGTTTGGCAGTTTCAAAACACAGAAGCTACATCGATTAATATGGTTAACTAAAAACACCAAGATCATCGTTCTTCATGATGCTAACAATCTGAGCCCTTCCATGTATCCTGTGATCTTTGTAGGCAGAATTCAGAAAAGGTTTCGTTTTCGTAATTGGTGTTATATTTTATTTTGCTAAGCCAATACACACACACACACACACACACACACACACAGGTTTGTACTTATACCTTTGTGAGGACTCTCCATTAATTTCTATGGGGAAAACTCTAATCCCAACACGACGACCTTAACCCCTACCCAGCCCTAACCTGAACCATAAGTAACCAAACAAAATATGAGACTTCTGACATTTTTAGTTTTTTGATTGTATTCACAAATCTTTGTAGGGACCTGTTTTTCAGGTCCCCACAATGCAATTCAATGAAAAAATGAATGCATTTTACAAATGAATGCAATCAAAAAATATGTCCGTATAATGTCAAAACAGGTTTTTATTACTTTGTGGAGAACATTTGGTCCCCACAATGTAATACAAACATAATCCACACACACACACACAGTGTGTGTGTGTGTGTGTGTGTATATATACGTATGATTAGGCATGATTAGGGGGCAGCATCTGGCCCTTCGCGGACAGCTTACTCTGCAAAGAGCAAGTTCAGGGATGCGTAAAAGACAATTTCCCCACGGGGATTAATAAAGTGATGATTATTGGTATTGTTATTTTATTACATCGAAGGACCAGTTGTACTATATGATAAAACGTATATAAATTAAATTACATTAAAAATCATTAGTGGACTACCTAGCACATACCTGTGTCCATAATGAGCGTCATGCACCAGGTGTGGTATTCCAATCCCCAAACAGTAAATCTCAGCGTCTGTGAGCTAAAAGGCATGCAGCTGGTGATTGGCTGTCTAACATGTTATACAAACACTTCATGCCCAGACACGGACATGTGAACTGGCTCCCCTCTGTGTTGATGTTCTTGTTTGTTGCCTATTGTAAACAATGTCTAAGAAATCAGAAGTGTGGCTCAAAGGGCATCCAGACTGAAACCATTTAGTCGCGTTTTGTCACCATTTTTGGAGACAGTGCGAGTAAATACTGTAACTCCGCGCACCAGGGCGAATTGCAGATATGCCCCTCATTTCAGCCCAAATATGCCCCCCATCTTATTTCACGTGAAACACCAGGAGAGAGCAAGTGTGCATGTGTATCATCATCATTGGAACTTGGTCTGATGTCATGTCCTCGGAGGTACTACTGTGGAGGCGTTTACACTGATTGCTTGACCACAAGCACTGGTGCAAACATGGAAGTTAGGCGGAAGAACAGAAAAGGAGACGGAGCAGATGGAATTATTTTTGTACCTCAATAAGATTGAATACGTTTTTGGTTGCGTTTCCTTTTATATTGCTGATGCTGGTGGTGAAATGTGCCAGCACACATTTACAGGATGACGTTACATTGTCTTTTTATTCTGTGGCAATATAGTTTTGTCTAATATTGCCGGTGTCAGCAGTGGAACAACTTGCCAGCTTGTTTTTATTCTGTGAAAAAGGAAAGATCGATCTGCTGGCCAGATTTATTTATGAATTATAAACATGTTGCAGGTCATATAAGTAAAATATAAATAAAAGACCTTATGATCACAACCGATCCCCTAGTAACTAACCAAAAAAAAACTTGTTTAAATAAAAGATTTGTGCTATAATGTTTAATGTATTTTTGTTGTTGTTGAAATTGATTTAAAAACATATTAGTATTAAAAAAGTATTGTTTGGGAACTGGTTTCGAAATCAAGGTATAGTTCTGGTACTGGTATCGAAACGATGCCCAGCCCTAGATTTGCACTGCTACTTTGAAGCAGTAACCCCTTCACATTTGTGGTTTCGTTTATTCAGGAGTTAGCCGTGAGTGTATGTAAACGGGCTACTTTTATAGCTTGCCAAACTCATAAGCTAACAACAACCTTGAAAATGATTCGGTTCACTGTCAAGGTACTGTACTGACGTGCAGATAATTTGGTTGGCCGACAGTGCATGTGACCCATGATAGTTTGGACCTGCATGTGTGCACCACGTGTGTGAACGAAGTTGGAAAGAGGTAGAGATAAGTAGCATGTAACATACTTCCGTGTACCTTTACAGTTTAATAAAATAATAGTTCTGAATATGGGAACCTTCCTCTCTATACTTTATTGTCATGGTGTCGGAAGTATATGGATAGAGATAAACATGCCTAAGTTTAACCTGCCACACAGTTTTAACTTGGCACACTGGGCCATATGGTTCCAAAAGTCATAGAAAAACCCTGTAAGAGCTGAGCAAGAATTGCAAATTCAGTGCTAGCAGAAATGAGCACATTACAGACAGATTCATTGTCAGCATGAGGGACAAGGGACTGTCCTGAAAATTACAGTTGTTAATGGACCTTACCTTGGAGACTGAGGATGTCCTGCAGCAGATTAGCCAGCAGGGGGCGCAGGAAATGGGCAATGTGCAGGAACTAGTTCACAGGGACCCATCGAGGGCGGGCAAGTGACGCTGAAGGGACAGCAGACACTGTGGTGAGAGGGCGAAAAATAACTCGGGTAACAAGAACAACATAGAGAAGTGTGGATGGTGCGATAAAACCGGACATGTTCACGCACTTAGCGCAAGTATCCAAGAGTGTACTAGCCGTGTCCCATGTCCATGATAAATGCACAGCTATTTTCGCTACTTACATTATTTACACTACTGGCAGCACTAGTCCAGCATGTTGTTGCGGTGCCCAATGGGTACCTCCAGCCAGGGCTGGATTAAGGAAATTGCATACTATTTTTGGCACCATAGCATACAAAACAATGTGAATCATCTGTAACTTTAATGTTACTTATTTCTAGCATTAGTGTTTAACATAATTACATGTGCTTTGATAAATTAAATCCTATTGGCAGTAAACACAAAGATAAGCTACATGTTAGTTTGCTTTGCAGCCCCCAGACGAGTATACTGAATGACCTTGTCCTCGCCTATTCCATCCATGTCAGAGTCGCTAGCATTACGGCTTGGTAGCCAGAACTGTTGCTCTCGCCACCCACAGTGTGAACTGCTAAGTACTAAGTACCACTCCAAGATGCTGACAATGAAAGCGGCAATAAGTGGAACAGCGAGACGATGCACCTAGGCTTTCATATCTATGCCCAGGACTACATTAAAAGAGAAACTTCATATGGAATCGTCTCTTTGGCCACTACTGCAATACCTTGGTGTCATGCCTTGCTCATCCGATCTCCCCGTGTGCCCTGGCTACCTTGTGTGGAATCCCCATGTTACCAGCTGTTTCACATTGTTGTTAATTAGTCTGATGTATTTAAGTCCACGTTCGAGTATGTTTCCCCAGTCTGGTTATTGATGTTGTGTTGTCATTTGGTCCTGCTTTGTCTGCCTGTTTGATTAAACCCCAAGTTCACCTGATTCCGTGAGTCTCGCTCCTGTTTCCTCGATCCATGTTCCCCACAATCCATAACACCTGGTCTGCCAAGTGCCACAATATACATTTTAAATAATCTATAAATAAGTGCAACAGGGTGGTTTTAACAGGCTCACATCTTTTCCCTCTCATCAGTAAAATAAACAGAATGTACGATTGCTTTTCATACTATCAATGTTATAAGTAGTAGTGATGCAGAAAAATGATTTTTTTTACTGAAACCGAATTCTATTTTTTTTTTCAGCTGTAAACCACCTATCCATCCATTTTTTGCCATTTATCTGGAGTCGGATTCGCTGGGGAAGCAGTCTAAGCAGGGAACTCATTTCTGTTGCTTGCATCTGTGAACTCCATTCTTTTGGTAATTACCCAAAGCTCATGACCATAGGTAAGGGTAGAAACATAGATTAACTGGTAAATCTAAAGCGTTACCTTCTGGCTCAGCTCCTTCTTTACCATGACTGAACAGTACAGCGCTTGCATTATTTCAGATGCTGCACTGATCCATTTATCGCTCTCCTGCAAGGATTCAGGAAATATTCGTTCCACTGCCTGACGTTATCCCCATTTGAGGTTAATAGTTCTCCTTCTTTGCTGTAAACAGCATGGGTGAATCCCTGCTTCCTATTCCTGAGTCGCCTGACAGTTTGCCAGAATCTTTTCGAGGCCGACCGAAAGTCCTTCTCCATGGTTTCAGCAACCGCAAAGCCACTTTCCGCTTGGCCTGCTGGTACCTATCAGCTGCTTCAGGAGTCCCACAAGCTAACCAAGCTCAGAAGGTCTCCTTCAGCCTGACAGCTTCCTTTACCGCTGGTGTCCACCATGGGGTTTGGGGATTACAACAGCGACAACTACTAACAACCTTACGACCACAACTCCGCACTGCTGCCTCAGCAATGGAGTCACGGAACATGGCCCATTCAGACTCAATGTCCCCTGGCTCCCTCTTGACGCAAGAGAAGTACTGCTGGAGGTGCGAGCTTCAGATCTCCCAGACTGGGGTCTCCGCCAGACACTTCCAGCAAACCTTCACTATGCATCTGGGTCTACCAGATCTATCCGGAACCAGGAACCAGGTCACCACCAGGTGGTGATCAACTGACAGCTCAGCTCCTCTCTTCAAAACATACAGGCACAGATCCAAAGATACAATTATAAAATCGATCATTGAACTGCAGCCTACTGTAGGTTGCTCTGGTGCACTTATGAACACCCTCATGTTAGAACATGGTGTTCATTATGGACAAACTGTGCTTAGCACAGAAGTTCAATAACTGATCACCGCTCAGATTCTATTCGGGCAGGCCATTCCTCCCAATCACACCCCTCTAGGTTTCACTGTCATTACCCACGTGAGCATTAAAGTCCCCCAGCAGAACAATGAAGTGCCCAGAAGGGGAGCCGTTCAGCACCCCCTTCAAGGTCTCCAAGAAGGCCGGATACTCCTAACTGGTGTTTGGCACATATGCACAGAAAACAATCAGAGCCCATCCCCCAACTCTAAGTCAAAGGGAGGTGACCCACTCGTTCACTGGGCGGGTGACCTCTCACTCCTTCACTCCCACTTGTTCACTACAACTTGCTGGCACTGATCCAGGGGGCTTCAAGTAGACCCAGCCCTGTCTGTTACCTCTCACCATGGTCAACTCCAGAGTGGAATGGAGTCCAGCCCCTTCCCAGGAGTTTGGTACCAGAGCCCAAACCATGCGTTGAGGTGAGCACAACTTCATCTAGTTGGTATCTCTCTACCTCCCACAGCAGCTCTAGGTCCTATCCCACCAAAGAGTTTACATTCCTTGTACCAAGTGCCAGGTTCCGTAGCTGACAATCGTCCATCGAGGCTCCCACCCTCGAATGCCAGCCAATCTGATGATGTTTAGGTATTTATTTTAGTGTAATTATATGTATAATGTCCTACATTGAATTAAAGACATTGGTGATTTCATGTTTGTCAATGTTTCTGCTTTTTAACAACAATGTAAAAATATCAAATTTTCTATACATTTTATATATGAATGGTATAGCTTGACTGGGGTAATAGAGATTGTTCGCTAGGAATTGTGTGACTTGGTGTTCATGTATGAACTCCATGCAGACGGGGAAATCGCACGAGAGACTGCAACTACCAAGTAGAATACCTTAAATACTTAAATAGGCATAATGCACGTTCTGCTGTATTGACAGAAATTTATTTTGGCGATGTCATACAGGGGTTGTATTAGCTGGTTGATTATTTGGGGGGTATAAGTCCCAACCCCTCGTAATTTGTGCTCATGGATACATCAACTATTCCACTTACAATACACTGTATTTGAAGATTTTTTTACTGTCGGGTTCCTAAAATAATGTTCTTCGAAATTAGTATTTTTTCCCATTAAGACCCATTTAAAATCAATGCATGCTCTGCCATAATGCCATTATGACAGCGACTTAACTTGTCAATGACAAAATAATTGTTAGAAAGCCCAATATATGTGACACAACTATTACACTTACTATATCCTGAGTTTGAAGATATTTTACTAATTAAAAATGCCTTCTGAAATTGGTAGTTTTTCCATAAGGCCACTTAAAATTAATAAATTGTTTTACATGGCCGCCCGCCTCAATTTTTTGGTGCCGCCTCGATTTTTTTTATATTTTATATATTTTTCAAAAAATCCGTTTTTTTCACCTCAAAAACTGTGGGTGAAAAATATTGAATGTCAGCCTCGGATTTTTCAATTTGACGCTTCTCGGACAATGGTTTTTATCGTTTGTCAGATTGTGTGTGGGCCCACGGTATTAAAATCCTGGCAGGGCATCAATATACCGAGTAATATTACCCTTCGCGAGCTGTTTGAGAACGTTTCTAGTTTTAGTATATCTCTGTTGCCGTTCGTCTTTTCGCTAAAAATATAAAATATAAAATCCCCTACTCATCAATATTTTAGAAGTTTGAGTCATGTAAAACAATTTATTAATTTCAAGTGGCCTAAAGACCAATTTGTCTCACTAGAGTATTACACTATAGAGTGCTGCAGAAAAAAATGCATGTTATTTTAAGGACTATACAAGACAGAAGATGCATAATGTCGATTTAAGGTGGCACGGATCTTGCGAATAAGAAACTGACGAATAAGAATCTTCAGCCTCGTTTTTGTACATTTGGTAAACTTTATTTAGATTCCTTTCATTTCATTTCATTTAATCTATCGAACATAACGTTCTTTTAAAAAAAATAAATATTTTTTACTTTCTCTTTCACTTTAAAAATATGATCCTATTTATTAATACTAAAACAGATAAGTATTATCGAAAGCTCAAGAACCGAGCTTAACATACTACAGAGACGTAAAGAATAATTTTTTGCACGCGTCCTGTATAAGTTCAAAACGGGACACGGCTAAAATGTATACTGCGAATATATACAGTTACATAACTGTCCACATAAATAGCACTACAAAAACAAGAAGAATCGCTCGGCGGTGTTGGGATAGGTAATAAACAGTGATACACACCTTAAGATATTCGAGTACTTGAATTTCAGCAGAATTTTTAAAGATTTAGAATTATTACTAAAACGGGAAGTGCGAAATAAAGACACTTCCTTGAATTTCTTCGGAATGAGGTAACTGGTATAGAAAGTCACTGATCTGGGCTCAGTGTTACCCTGGGCCAGGGGCGTAGGAAGGGGGAGAGGGCCGCATGTAACTATCAATATTTAAGTTGGCTTCACCCCCCCCCCGCCCCCAATTTAAATTATTTTCTTTACCAAAATAAATACTAATTTATTTGGTAATCTCGCACCACAAATACAGCTGCAATTTTTAATTACAACGTCATATATTGCAGGGGGCGGACCTATATTGTTTATCGAGATGGATCATGCATGGGTCTGGCGTACCTTGGTGTGTATGTTGATGCTTCCATGTCTCATTCTCGCCAGTGTGGTGAAGCAATAAAAAAGGCCAATAGGATGTTGGGGTACATCTCCAGGTGTGTGGAGTTTAAGTCAAGGGAGGTAATGCTAAGATTATACAATTCCTTGGTGAGACCTCACCTAGAATATTGTGTACAGGTTTGGTCACCATATCTTA